ATATTCAAAATATTGGTTATGATGATGATATTAAAATAATCAATTCATAGCGTATATTACTTATTAAATGTCGAACAGCACATAATTGTAATGAATGGGCAAAACATTTATCAAATCTAACTCAACAAGCGAAAGATTTTGCCAGTGAAACACGAAATCGATCCGATTCATATGCACCTATTCGAGAAAATCAATTAGCTTATTAGTAAAATAATAAAATGATCTTGTATTAAAATAGAATGTTTAATATAGGTTTATTAATGGTAAATCATATATGTTAGCTAATGCTAAAGCACTTTTAACAGCTAAAGAAGAAGTTTTTATTATAGACTGGTGGCTTTCACCTGAGCTTATGTTAATTAGATCAGCAGATGAAAAAGCATTCCGACTTGATAATATATTAGGAAGAATAGCTGTGAGAATTTGATTTGTTTTATTATTCATACTTGTTAAAATTTTAGATATGAATTTTAGGGTGCAGAAGTTCGTGTTCATGTAATGCTTTATAAGGAAATGCCATTTGCTTTAGCTTTAAATAGTTTATATACAAAAACAAAATTAGTTTCTAAAAGTACAAAAGGATTTATTAAAGCCTACTGAGTGTTTTAATTAAAAAAACATAAATAGCTCATTTACTTGAATATCTAAGGTTATTCGACATCCAGGTCATAATACTAAGGATTGCGTACTTTTGTGGTGTCATCATGAGAGAAAGGTTGTTATCCACCAAAAAATTCCTTTCATTGGTACAATTGATTTATGCTATGGTCATTGGAATGATGAATTTATGCGATGAGTTACTATCTTGTATTAGATTTCATATTGTTTTCACGTACATCATGCATTGATTTCTACCAAGAAAAAAACAAGCATATGTAATACAATATCTGTTCCAACACTGATTGCATTAGTATGAGTATTTACTATAGCACTAATTAAATTGACATCAACATTCTTTACAAAATTCAAAAACTAACTCTATCAAAACTATGCTTTTTTTTGTATCATGCCATTTCAATCCTTGATTAACGCTGATACTTGTGTGCACTAACTATTGCAGTTGCACAATCCTGAATGTATCCTTGAGAGTGGATGCTTTTACTTCATAAATTATAAAACTATTTTCCTA